GGTCAGCCTTCCTGCTCCTCTGATGCTGCTTGGCCTGCTGTGTTCATCCAGCTCTACACCTTGTTATCTCATATTTCCATCATGAGTCTGGTTTAGGTATGATGGTTTGAAGTTCAGGAATACTGCTTCGTGGGGTAATATCCAAATAAGAAGCCTGTGACACAGATTGTAACTTTTATACATGCCACTCAATTTTCCTTGCTCTCGGGTGTTCTGACAAACTACAGCTTGGATATTGGAGGGGGAATAATTGGGTTATGGTGAACAGTTGTGATTCAGCTGTTTTTCAGAAGATGTCCTACATTTTGTTTTATTTTTATTTTTTCATTGTAAATGTTGATAAATAATTATTTAATGGACTAAGCTGGCATGTAACATGCTCCTCTAATTATGGCATTTTGGTGCGTTAACAGTTCAGAGGGTCATCACAGTGCCACATGTTACACAGACCCTTTATCTATTATAAATACATTTTTGAAATTTAAAAAAATCTTTATACACAAGATATGTTTTATGAATATACATAGTCACAAATGCATTTCGGTTCTGTACAGTAGCATATCAAGGAAACTGAACTACAAGCAGTTTCTAACTAGAATTTAGGAGCAGGACGAGGTCAATTAACCCTATAATGTCATGGTAGATAAATGTGGACATACCAGCTTAGAATGATAAACAGCATATATGCAGTCACAAGATGGTTAATATATTTTGATTAAGTCATGGTGTTACATATTGTACAGCAATGACACAACAGCCTCTGGAATATATGGTGAAGAGTAATGTTTGTACATTAGTTACCTTTTGGGTAAAATGTAAAGGGGTCATGAAGAATGAGTGATGCTTGTTCTTTTTTTTTTCCCTCCTTCCTACACTACCCTGCCTCCCATATCTGCTGGTGCCAAGTTTTCTGTGATGTTGCTTGTTGAAAGTATAAATTGCAGTGTGGGTTGAAATTGGGAAAGCAGCCAGTAAAAGAAAGCCAGTCCCTTCCATTGATCCAATTAAATCATATTGCAGACCAGGCTGGCTAAAGTTTTCCATACGAATGGAATCAAAAGCAACTCAACCTCTTCTTCACTCAGCGCAGCTTTTCTTCCTGCATTTTCCTACAGCCTGTTAAAACCCAGACGTGGAAATGTGTCAGTAGACCATGATGGGGGGTGGATGTGGCCTGGTATTCCCTCCCTATCCACACAGCTGCATGTTGTAGTAAAATTCTCTAAGTGAAGTAGGGAAAGGTCCTGAATTTTCCTCTCTTTTGACCTGTTCTATTGAGATCAAATGCGTCCCAATTCTACCCTTCTCTCCTCTTTTCACCCCTCCCATCCCCATCCCTTCCAAAATCCCAAGTTCTGAAGCAGCGGAGAACAATTAATTCAATATGTTCCATTTGCTGTAGTTGGCTTCAACAGCAAGCAGCACTGTTAGTTGTTACGAGGCTAGTGCGGCTTAGTAGGTTAATTTCTTTTAAGGGTATTATAGAACATTCCAACAAAACTCTCAGCTATGGTGTTGCAACATGAGCTGACTCTAGACCCTGTGAAGAGGCCTGTTGTCACTGATATGAGTTTTCTCCCTTTCCCACCTGTCTCTTCAGAAGGCTGTTATCTCTGCAGGGTTAAAGATCCAGAGATGCTGGTGCCTCTGCATTTGCCTTACCCAAATGACTATTCTAACGTGTTAGTTGATATTTGAGAGTGAGAAACTGTTCGACCATGTGCTCAGTGAAGGCCTAAAAACGGAAAGAACTAAGAATGCTATAAATCAGAAACAAAAACAGAAATTGCTGGAAAAGCTCAGCACGTCTGGCAGCATCTGTGAAGAGAAATCGGAGTTAACGTTTTGGGTCAAGTGACCCTTCTTCAGAATGCAGTGAAGGCGTGTTGTTCTTGCCTGTATATGCACTTTTATGCCCACTTGGGTGATGGGCATGATTCCTTGATAAACTATTAGCAGTGGGAAACCTAAAATTTAATTCTTGTTTCCATAGCCCAATGGCAATGAGACCAATGAGCATTTTGTCTCCCAATCCAGCCTGTCGGGTAATTCGGAACAGGCTGTGAATCAAACTGGTGACCCTCCCAAATTATGTGGTGTGTTACATATCATCAGGTGCTTTTCCACCGCCTTGCTAGACCATGGATAATTCTTGAACCCCTGAGTTGTGATGAAGACAAAACATGCTGAAGCAGGCAATACTGCTAGTGTATGTTCTGAGCTTCACTTCTGATCTTCAGTATTTCTTGGCGAGCAATAAGTTTTCAATCCCTCAGGCTTTAGCGGTTCAGTTACAGTCTGACCTGTTTTTTTTCCCCTCTTGTCCTTTTTGAATCGGCCAGATGTCCCTGGTGGATTTGGGGAAGAGGCTGTTGGAGGCAGCTCGCAAAGGGCAGGACGATGAGGTGCGAACACTAATGGCAAATGGCGCTCCCTTCACCACAGATTGGGTAAGTGAGCCATTTTGGGGGTGAACATCAGGCAGTAGTTTTTAAAGATATGATGTATTTTAAGCATGAGCTGTGCATTCTGAAAGTGGCCCATCCACAAGATGCACTGAAGGATAAAGTGGTGCTTTAAAACCTCACCACAGCTATGTGGGGTAGACAGACAGGAGTCTGGAAGAACACAGCAAGTCAGGCAGCATCTGGAGGAAAGGAGAAGTCAAAGTTTCGGGTATTACCCTTCTTCAGGACTGGATGTGGGGGTAGGGGGAGCTGCAGATAAAGGAGAGGTTAGTGAAACGGTGGTGATAAGTGAACACTGGTAGTAGGCACGACCTGATTGGTTGATGGGAGGGATGAATGTGGTCGGTAGCTGGAAGGGAGGAGGTGGGGCTGGAAAGGTTATTTGAAATTGGAGAACCCAGTGTTGAGTCCTCCAGGTTGTAGTGTGCCCAGGCAGAAGATAAGTTGGTGTTCTTCAAATTTTGCATTCTGAGTTACTGTGACGCTGGAGGAGGCCACGGATGGGCATGTTGGGGGTGGGGGGTGTTGAAACGGGTGGTGACCGGGAAGTTAGGTTGACTGTTACGGATCGGGCGAAGACGCTCAGCAAAATGGTCACTCAGTCTACGTTTGGTCTCACTGACATAGAGAAGACCACATCGGAAGCACTGGATGCAATAGACCAAGTTGGAGGAGATGCAGATGAAGCTCTGTCTTACTTGGAAGGACTGTTTAGGGCCCTGAATGGAGGTGAGGAAGGTGGTGTGTGGGCAGATGTTGCATCTTTTACGTTTACAGGGGAAAGTATGGGGTCGGGAGATGGGTGGAAGGAGTGGGAGGTGTTGGAGTGATAAATGGGGAATGTGGCACACACTACACAGTGGTGAAAGGAATGATCCTTGCGGAGGGCAGAGAGGGGTGGGGAGCAGAAGATATTCACGGTGGTGGATCTAATTGCAGTTGGTGGACGTGTTTAAGGATGATACGTTGGATGCGGAGGCTGATGGGGTGGAAAGTGAGGACAAGGGGCACTCTATCTTTATAATGTTTGGAGGAGGGGGTGTGCTCAAGACCTGTGGAGTGGGGAATGGAGGACACATGGTGGAGGGCTGTCTGGATAACAGTTGTGGGGGGGAAGCATTGTTTGAAAAAAGTGGACTTCTGGGATGTTTGGAAGTGGAACGTGTCCTTGTTGGAGCAGATGCGACAGAGGAATTGGGAAAAAATTGAGTTTTTGAAGGATACAGGGTGGGAAGAGGTGTAGTCTAGGTAGTTATGGGAATCTGTGGTTTTATAGTAAATGTTGGTCTGTAACCTGTTGCCAGAAATGGAAAAATGGGAGAGAGGTGTCTTGAGGTAGACCAAGTGAATTTGAGGGCAAGTGGATGTTGTTAGCGAAGTCACTGAACTACTCCAGTTCAGGCTAGGTGCAGGTTGCAGCACTGATGCAGTCATCGATATAGTGGCAGAAGAGTTGGGGAACAGTACCGGTGTACCTACTGAAGAAGGACTGTTCTGCATAACCGACAAACAGGCAGATGTAGCTAGGGCCTATGCGAGTGCCCATGGCAACCCTCTGGATTTGGAGAAAGTGGGAAGAATTGAGGGTGAGGACTAGTTTGGCGAGGTGAAGGAGGGTATTGGTGGAGAGGGACTGGCTGGGTCTGTTGGAGAAGAACAAACTGAGGGCCTGTAGGCCATCTTTGTGGGGTATAGACATGTTATGGGGCTTGAATGTCCGTAGTAAAGATTAAGTGGTGGGGACCAGGGAATTGGAAGTTTCCAAAGGGGTGGAGGGTGTGGTTGTGTCCTGGATGTTGGTGGGGAGTGTGTGGACCAAGGGGGAGAGAATGAAGTTAAGGTAGGAAGAGATGAGTTCGGTGGGGCAGGAGCCTGCAGAGACGATGAGTCGGCCAGGGTAGTTGCACTTGTGGATCTTGGCAAGCAGGTAGAACTGGGCAGTGCAGGGCTGGGGGGTCTATAAGGCTGGAGGTGGTGGAGGGGAAATGACCAGAATCGATGAGGTCGTGGACAGTGTGGGAGATGGTGGCTTGATGGGCCATGGTAGGGTCGTGGGAGGTAGGGAGTGGTGTCGCAGAGTTGGTGTTTGGCCTGTGCGACATAGAGGTCTGTCCTCCAGACTTCCACTGCCCTGCCTTTGTCAGGGGGCTTGATAGTGAAACAGGGATTGATGAGGAGAGAGCGGAGTGTTGCACTCCCCACCTACATCCAGGACACAAACCACACCCTCCACCTCGTTGGAAACTTCCAGTCATCCAGACTGCCCTCCAACGTGCCTCTCCCATTCCCCTCTCCACAGCTCTTAACCACCCCCCTCCCCAAGCATAATGAAGATAGGGACCCCTTGACCTCACTTTTCCCCCACCAGCGTCCGCATCCAATGTATAATCGTCAAGCACTTCTGCCAACTCCAATTAGACCCTACCACCTGGATCATCTGCCTTCTTCCGCAAGGACCATTCCCTTTGCCACTCCTTAGTTCGCACCACACGACCCACCAATCCTCCAACCAGCCTGGTACCTTCCCCTATAACTGTTAAAAGATGCAACACCTGTCCACACGCCACCTCTCTCACTTCTATTCGGGGCCCTAAACAGTCCTTCCAATTAAGACAGAACTTCACCTGCACCTCTGTCAATCTAGTCTATTGCATCCGGTGCTCCCAATGTGGTCTTCTCGACCAAACGAAGACAAGGTAACTGTTTCGCTGAGCATCTTTGCCTGACCCATAACGCTAACCTAACCTCACAGTCACCTGCCCATTTCAACACCTCCCCCCACCCCTGATATGTCCATCCTTGGCCTCCTCCAGTCTTACAGCGACTTGGAACGCAAATTTGAAGAATAGCACCTTAGCTTCCGCCCTGAGCACTCTACAGCCCAGTGGACTCAATGTTGAGTTCTCCAATTTCAAATAACCTTCCCACCCATCCCCGACTCCCGTTCCAGTCCCACCTCCTCCCTTCCATTCTACCTTCTGATCCTCCCTTCCAGCCACCAACCGGATTCAATCCTCCCATCGACCAACCAGTACCTACTATCAGTGTCCACCTATTACCACCATTCCGTTATTTCGCCCCCTGACCCAACTTTATCTGAAGTTCCCCCTACCCCCACATCCAGCCCTGAAGAAGGGTAATACCCGAAACTTTGACCACTCCTCTCTTTCAGATGCTGCCTGGCTTGCTGTGTTCTTAGAGCCTCCTGTTTGTCTACCTTGGATTCCAGCATCTGCAGTTTTTTGTCCCTAACACAGCTATCTGGCTATAGACCAGTAATACAGCAAGGAATATGTTTACTCCTAGAGGATACTCTGGGAGCCCTTGGATATCAGTGACTGGGGCTTTGGATTCTAGTAGTTATGAAGGAGCTGTGGTTTAGACACTAAACAAATTGGATGGATCACAAGCAATGGTGAACCTGGAGCAGATGGAAGTCGGATGGACAGCAAATCAGCTTCTTGAGTGTGAGTGTAGGAAAGAAAAAGGTGGTGTGGCACCATCTGTCAGGGAACATTAGTACATTGATGAGAGAGAAGAATGGGAATTGGAGTAGAGTCATGTTCATGAATCCGGAAGGGAGATAAAGGTAACAACAGCATTGCATTCCAGGGCAATGGTCTGGGAGAACAAGTAAAGAGTCATTGCTAAAGCCTTAGTTGTAATCACTGGGGGGGATTTAATCTACCTGACACAGGTCAAAACTTGAATATGGGATAGTCTGGGATAGTCTGAGATAGTTGTTCTTCAAGAATTTCCTCTTAAACAGTCTGCAAGAGAAGCTGCAAGAAGCCACAGTATTGGATTTGTTCTGGACTAATAATAATGCTTCCTTGTGCTGGGATGCAAGAGGAGGGATGTGGCATCCAGCGGTAAGGTAGTGGTTAATTTAAGTATGAAATATAGCAGAACACTAGCAAAAACTATTATGTTAAGAAATTGAATTTTAACTAAATTCCACCAGTTGCCATGGTAGAATTTGAACCCCAGAAATAACAAGGTGTAGAGCTGGATGAACACAGCAGGCCAAGCAGCATCAGAGGAGCAGGAAGGCTGTCGTTTCAGGCCTAGACCCTTCTTCAGAAGTAGGGAAGGGGAAGGGGGTTCTGAAATAAATAGGGAGAGAGGGGAAGGCGGATAGAAGATGGATGGTGGAGAGGAGACAGACAGGTCAAAGAGGTGGGGATGGAGCCAGTAAAGGTGAGTGTAGGTGGGGAGGTAGGGAGGAGATAGGTCAGTCCAGGGAGGACGGACAGGTCAAGGGGGCGAGATGAGGTTAGTAGGTAGGAGATGGGGGTGGGGCTTGAGGTGGGAGGAGGGGATAGGTGGGAGGAAGGACAGGTTACGGAGGCAGGGACGAGCTGGGCTGGTTTTGGGATGCGGTAGGGGGAGGGGAGATTTTGAAGCTTGTGAAGTCCACATTGATACCATTGGGCTGCAGGGTTCCCAAGCGGAATATGAGTTGCTGTTCCTGCAATCTTCGGGTAGCATCATTGTAGCACTGCAGGAGGCCCAGGATGGACATGTTGTCTGAGGAATGGGAGCGGGAGTTGAAATGGTTCGTGACTGGGAGGTGCAGTTGTTTACTGCGAACCAAGCGTAGGTGTTCTGCAGAGCGGTCCCCAAGCCTCCGCTTGGTTTCCCCGATGTAGAGGAGGCCACAACAGGAACAGCGGATGCAGTATACCACATTAGCAGATGTGCAGGTGAACATCTGCTTGATGTGGAAAGTCTTCTTGGGGCCTGGGATGGGGGTGAGGGGGGAGGTGTAGCACTTCCAGCGGTTGCAGGGAAAAGTGCTGGGTGTGGTGGGGCTGGAGGGGAGCGTGGAGTGGACAAGGGAGTCAGAGAGAGTGGTCCCTCCGGAAAGCAGATAAGGGTGGGGAGGGAAAAATGTCTTTGGTGATGGGGTCGGATTGCAGATGGCGGAAGTGTCGGAGGATGATGCCTGTCCCCTGTCCCTTGAACATTCCCCTCGGTGTCTGGATTGCCAGTCCAGTGTTTCGCAACTACACCACTGTCTGCCTATGTTTCACACTCCTGTAGCTGCTACGTTTGCCAAGTGTACGTGTAAGCCACAGGTAGTGTAGGTTTGGGCCTGGTCTTGAATTCCTGAGATTTGCTTCATTTCTGTTGAAAGTCCTTGAATAGTTTACCCCAGCTCCCACTTTTATGTCATAACAGAAACACGTAGTTATAATCTGGAGTTGGGTATCAGCCAGAGCCAGCAGATACGGCAAATCTTCTTCCTTACCTGCAGGACATGAATGAACCTTTTGGAGTTTCACAAAATAAGTCTGCTTGCTTTCATAGTGGGTTCTTCAGGTACCAGTCCACAAAACAGAGCAAATTAATTCACAGTGGGTTCTGAACTGCTATTCTTACCCTGCATGTGACTCCAGATCCACAGTAATGTGATTGACTCTTCACGACCCTCTGAGTGGCTTGCTAGACCCATTTCAGTTTGAATGTAAGTAGAGATGGTGTTATGTTTAGGTCAGTTCATAAATTATAAAAGACCATGGGGTAGGCCTGTAGAACTTGAACCGCGAGTAATTTATTACACGTCTTTACAGCTCACTGCCTGAGCCACAGCTCCTGCTCTGGGTCACCAGACCCACTATTTTAGAAGTAGCATGCATCCCCAACTATATACATAACACCACTCCTCCTTTAATTCAATAATTCCCTTTCATAAATGTATATACAACAATTATACAGCCATTGTAGCTAATATAGTCAGGAATATTTACAAAAACATGGAAAGCGTGTGCAAATGACCACTCCCTCCACCTATGCAAACGCTGGCCCATGCAACCACCTTTGTATCATTAGCAAATATAGATACATTATTCTCTGTCTCTTCATCTAAATCATTTTATAACAATCATAAATAGCTGCAGTCTAATCACTAATTTTTATGGGACTGCACTAATCACAGCTTGCCAGCATGAAAATGTTCCCTTTTAAAGATGGGAAGTAAATTTGGTCCTGCCAGCAATGTCCATGTCCTAACCAGAAATTCTATCAGGTGAGATTACGGCCATGTATTGCTGTGGTATCCTTCACAGCTGAGCAAGCTATTGATGGTCATCCAAGAATGGCCACTGTTAAGGGTTATCCTTGAAAAACGAAAGGTTGACTAGGTGCTTGTGAACTGCTTCCCAGCAACAGCTGAAAGAGCAGAAGGGACAAAGTGTAGCTTTTTAAGCATGAGAATTCTCGCGTAGCAAAGTATTTTCATCAATTCAATCCTGCATCTTTCTGAGGCAGATGCCACCAGGTTGCACCATTTATCTCTAGGCAAGTCTTACTGTAATAGAATTTGATGTATCATTCTCCTTCTCCCTAGCTGGGCACATCTCCTCTTCACCTTGCAGCACAGTACGGTCATTATTCAACAGCAGAAGTCCTCCTCCGGGCTGGAGTTAGTCGGGATGCCCGAACCAAAGTTGACAGGACGCCACTACACATGGCAGCAGCTGAGGGCCATGCAAACATTGTGGAACTCTTGATCAGGGTAAGGTTTCAGTAGAGATTTGTCCATTGGGAACCACATTCCCTCCCTGCTTTATATTTTAAAAAAAACTAAGATCAAAGTTTTTGACTAAAAGCTGCAAGTGTCAGCATTTCACTGCTGGTCAGTCAGCATCCGACAGACCTACATGCTCCTCCACAGCTGTTTGATTCTCAGCTGTACCAATTTTCCTTTCTCCAATCCAAACTGGATGCTTCCACACAGAATAGAGGATCACCAAGGCGAAGTCAAGAGAAGAGAGACGCTAATGGAACATAGAACATTACAGCGCAGTACAGGCCCTTCGGCCCTCGATGTTGCGCCGACCTGTGAAACCAATCTGAAGCCCATCTAACCTACACTATTCCATTATCATCCATATGTTTATCCAATGACCATTTATATGCCCTTAAAGTTGGCGAGTCTACTACTGTTGCAGACAGGGCATTCCACGCCCTTACTACTCTCTGAGTAAAGAACCTACCTCTGACATCTGTCCTAAAGATATTCACAGTTGGGTCACTGTCCAGCAGGTTACATTTTGTCCAGAGTACTCTATATCACTATAAAATAGCAAGTTAATGAGGCCATTAACAGAAAGCTGAACGAACGGGTTCAATTCTAGAGGCATGGAATTGAAAAATAGAGAAGTTGCCATAAATGTGTGTTGAGGCATGAGTGGATCAGACTTCTAGTTATCTAAACAGTTTTAGAGATGCTGGAGAAGATGCAAGAAAAGGTTTACTGGAATACAGTAATGCTACAACTGAAAAGTTATGCCTATCAGGGAAGATTAAACATGAGTTGGGTCCTTTTCCTTTTGTTAGGAAGAAGAGAGATTGACTGACTCCATTGAGGTCTTTAAACGTATGAAAGAGCTTGATAGAATTGATGCAAAGCAGCTGTTTCTGTTTGCGGGGAGAGACCAAAGGTATGGGTCAGACGGCCCTGGACTGAGAGACCTGTGTTCAATTTCCACCTGCTCCAGAGATGTGTAATAATATCTCTGAACAAATTGATTAGAAAACTGGGTTAAGCTTTTTAAAAGCACAGGTCAGCAGTAGAAGACAGTTTCTGAACAATCCAATTGGGAACTGGGGACAAACCTCTTCACCCAGAGAGTTGGGGGAGAAACGGGATTTCCTCCCGTGGGGAGTGGTCAAGATGAATAAGAGTTACATTGAGAGAGGAAGCTGATGAAGTTAAATGAGGAAAGATAACTGGAGGCTGGTGTGGAGCAGCAAAACCAGCATTAATCTTTTTTGGCTAATTGAATTGTTTCTGTGCTGTTTGCAGGAATGAAGCATCAGAGAAGCTGAGAAGTCTTATTGATGGATACGTGGAAAAGCAGTAGTGATAGTTACTTTTGTAGCCCATCCTGTCCCTCTTCAACGTATGGAAATGTGCTGTACTGTCACAAGGTTAAATTTGAAAGATGCTGTTTGTGTGTGCTGGTCTGAAGTTCAGCACTGGGTAGTGTGGGCATCAAGCATTTTGGATCTGAGAAAGATAAATGTGAGCATGAGCTTACAGGTGGGAGAATAGGATCAGGAAAGGAGCAGAATGTGAGAAACTAATGGATTGGTGCAGAAAGTCATGGAAAAGGTGAATAATTTAATGGTTTTTACGTGGATTGCACATGTTGACATGTAAGCGTGAGTAAGTTATATGGACGCTTGTTTGGACAGCATTTGGAGTACTGCAGTTAGCTTTGGGCACTGAATCTCAGGAAAAATGTCTCATGCATTCTTAGCAATTTTTCATGGATGCAGCATAGAAAGCATTTTATCTGGATGCGTCACAACTTGGTATGATGACTGCTGTGCCCAAGATTGCAAGAAACTACAGAGAGTTGTGAACTTAGCCCAGTCCATCACACAAACCAGCCTTCCATCCATTGACTCTGTCTATACTTCCCACTGCCTCGGGAAAGCAGCCAACATAATCAAAGACCCCTCCTACCCTGGTTATACTCTCTTCCACCCACCACCATTGGGCAGAAGATACAAAAGTTTGAAAATGCTTTTCAACAAATTCGAGAACAGCTTCTTCTCTGCTGTTATTTGACTTATGAACTGACCTCTCATCTGCTACAATTGAACTTTTCTCTGCACCTTCTCTGTAGCTGTAACACTATATTCTGCATGTAGTTACATAAGATATGATTTGCCTGGATAGCATGCAAAACAATACTTTTCACTGTATCTCAGTACATGTGGCAATCATAAATTAAATTAAATCAAATAAAGGATTACGTTGTGAAATCTGGTTCTGCAAACATGGCCTGTATTCAGTTTAGGAGGTTTAAGGTGATTTAATTAAGATATTTAAAATTTGATAGGGTAGATACCAGAAAAACTCTTTCCTTTGGTGGGCAAAACAAGAGGGCATGATCTTAAAAACTAGAGCTAAGCCATTTGGAGTGAAATCAGAGAGCATGTTTGTATACAAAAGGCGGTGACGTAAATCTGGAACTTGTGGCCTCAGAAGCTGTGGATGCTGAGGGAATTTTAATTCCCTCGGTTTGAGATGGGTGGATTTTGTTAAATATTAAACAAAGATGAGGAAATGGAATTTAGATGCCGATAAACCATGATCTAAGTGAATGGCAGAACAGACTTGAGAGGATGTATAGCCTCCTCTTGTCTCTCTCTCTCTCTCACTAGTGGTCACTTTGTCTCAGATGTGTGTGAATGTAGGCTGGCTCAATGACTCCTATAAAAATACCTTTTTTTTTCTTCCCAATGTAGAACAACGCGGATATAAATGCTAAGGACATGCTGAAGATGACTGCTCTGCATTGGGCAGTGGAGCATGACCATCGTGAGGTGGTGGAGATTTTGTTAAAATATGGAGCAGACGTTCATGCTTTGAGCAAATTTGACAAAAATGCATTTGACATCGCCCTTGACAAGCACAACCCTGAATTGGTGGGAATATTGCAGGTATGTAGAGAGAAATTTGGAAGGCCCAGGTTTAAGTATGATGTGAGTGAGTTTTGGTCAATTTGGAAAGCGTTGCTTCAGTTTACTGGGAGAGTTTGCAGATGGAAGAGAAAGAAAGAGAATGCAGTATCTTTGACATGTAATATTGGGTCAAAGCAGGAAAAAAAACTTCATTTCTTATAGCACCTTTCATGCCCTCGAGACCCTCTAAGGCATTTTAGAGTGCATGATAAACAGACAAAAAGTAATTTGCTCTGCAAGCGTGGTGATTTGAGTACCATAATGGCTTCGCCCATGTTGGCTGTGAAGAAAATTAGCCACAGCCCTTGCACCTAATTTTATCATATAGCTAAACCAGGAGGTGATACTAGCTGGGAAATCAAGGTCGGCTTAGATATCTTTGGGGCAGGTAATGTGGCTGCTCTTTCTGAATAATATGTCCAGGAAGAATGGGTGAGCCTTTTTCAGTAATGGCAAGTGGTATGGGAGCTGCTGATGCCCCAAAGAATTGACCCCCAGAAAGAGTTGGTCCCTACAATCCATGCTGTATGCCTTTATAAAAGATGGGAAATTGTGGCTATTTGCGAGGCAGGTCTAAACATCAGTAGTATGTACTTCATAATAAATGGTTCATGTGCCCGGTTTCCTTTTGAATCATTTTCATAATTAGGCAATGCCATTGTTTAACGTTGACTTGAAAATACAACTGGATGTTTGACCACAGGAGGTTGGGTGAGAATATTCACAAAAATTTTTAATAATCCTGTTGGTTGGGTACAGGGTTTGTAGGTATTGAGCAATGTCCACTTTTACTACTTTACTGTTACTGTGATGGTTTCCTGCTGGTAATCTCCTGCGTATTTGCCCAACTGGCTTCTGCCGTGCAGCTTTGCTTTACCATATTGGTTCTGAATTATCCATGAACACTGGCAAGAATCAGATCTGTCAAAATTTGTTTGCAGGTAACCTTGTTTGACATGACTGTGGGAGCTTAATGAAGTTCATTAGAAAGACTGCAGTTTTCAGACTGTCCGTTATTTTAAACAGTGAACGTCATCCGCCTGGAGGTTCTCCGTAAACCCAGCTAACTGAAATGTTGCGCTAGTGCTCAGTAAGCCCATTTTCTAAAGTAACTCAAAGTGAATCCTGTCGTCTCTCATTGCCACAGCATTATGTCTACTTGCTGAGATGCAGTGCCTTAACATCTGCTGCCCATCTGTGCACTTGCTAACATCATCCAGATTTCTATGCCAAACCAGTTAACTTTGGTAGCTAGTTAATAACTGTATGGATTCAATGAAAAATTACCCTAAGAGTGCATGTCAACGCTAAAGTGTCTTGAAGCTCAGCTGTTACAAAATTATTCTTACCTATTGAGGAAAATCTGTACAGGCTGGGGCTCTTTTCCCTAGAAAAGAGAAGACTGAGTAACTTGATAGAGATCTATATCGAAAGGCTGTGTTGTTGAGATGAAGAGAAGCTGTCTCCATTTGGGTGGAGACCAGAATGAGAGGGCCATCAACACTGCTTTTATCAGTGGTTATCTTATAAAGAATTTGGGTTGTACCGCCTGCTAGTGCTCACTATGCTTGTACTTAAGCTGCCAAGAAAGGCTCACCCATATTTCTGAAACTGAACCCAGCACATGAGCGCTTGGAACAGGTTATCACGAGTAAGGCTAAGGCCAGGATGCACAAATTGTTCAAGCAGTGTTAGGATTTGGTGTTAGAGTCGGAAGATGATTGGGTGTTTTGGTCTGGATGACCCCATGGACTTTGAAACATGTTCATGATTGCAGATACTAAGCATCATGAAGTAATCAAAGAATTTGTACAGTGTGGGAGCAGACCATTCGACCCTCTCGAGTCCACTCTGACCTTCTGAAGAGCATCCCACCCAGACCCAGCCCGTACCCTATGCCTGTAATCCTGCACTTCCAATGGCTAATCCACCTATCCTGCATATCCCTGGACAGTATGGGCCATGGTCAATCCACCCTAACCTGCACATCTTTTGGACTGTGGGAGGAAACCCACACAGACCTGTGGGGGGAGAATGTGCAGACTCCGCACAAATGGTCACCCGAGGCTGAAATCGAACGCAAGTTCCTGGTGCTGAGAGGCAGGATTGCTAACCACTGAGCCACAGTGCCACTCTCAAGTCCTTTTAGAGAGCTGAGGGGTGATCTCATCAAGGGAAGATGGAAGACCAAAGCTGGGAGCTCAAGTATGTGAAATTCGGAGAAAAACCCTTTTCTCTAGATTTTGCTGAGAATGTTGAAATCACAAGCTTGGAGGAATAGTGTAGCTGTTTCTAAGGGAAAGATAAATAAGGGGAAAGGGAGTAGAGGATATGCTGATGCAGTGACTGAGGAAGGCCGGTAGGAGGCTCATGTGGAGTATCAATGCTGTAATGAATGAGATGGGCTGAATGGCCTGTTTATGTTGCAAATACTGTGTATCCTTCACAATAAGGTGAATGATGTTGACCCTGAGAATGGATAGATCCCACGTCAGTGTACAGCATTTCCAGGATCTTGGCATATCAAGCTTTCTCTGCTCTGCTCTAGTATTATGTAAGTTCTCAAAGGTGAACCAACTGATATCCATCCGAGGTACTCTATGAAACGCTTTGCCTCTAGAAGGGCATGGACTAATGCTTCACTGAGATATTTTAGATTCCTGGCACTTGCCAGCCCCACAGCGTGGAGCTGCCTGTCAGCTGCTGTTTTTTGACATTGAAGCAATGTACGCTCCAGCCTTCTAAGATGCTGCTGATTACCTGAATCCTGGATTTCTAGCTCCTCAATTTGCCACCCTGAAGGTGTTAACTCTGAGCACACCGTAGCGTACCCCACGTAACAGGTTCGCTCGTGTTCTTCACAGGAAGCTATGCAGAATCAAGTGAACACAAATCCAGAGAGGACAAATTCGGTCGCTGTCGCCACACCGCAATTCATCATTGCGCCGGCAGGAGTAATGAACCTCACAGGACTGGTTTCTTCAACGTCTACCAAAACAACCTCAGGTATGTAAAGGGCAAGTTATGGCCTGCCCCTTTAAAAAGGGCTACATTCCAGAATGAGACAATAATGGGTTATTAACACTGTCGTGGGTGGGCTCTGTATATAACCTTTTCTTTGTAATTAATATGGCTTGGTAGGTCTGTCGTGGCTATGCTGAGTTGATATAGGCAATGTTACTTTGTGTTAATTGTAGGGTCAGGGTTCTAGCTAGGGGTTAAACCCTGCAAGACCCCTTGCTGATCTATTCGCTCCTCCTGCCCACAAGTAGATTCTTGGACCTTGCCAGGAGCTCCATTTGTACTACCTCTCCCCACATTTGCTACTTGACTGGCTGTTAGCAAGGTAACCCTTTTGAAATCAAACACTATCAGGGCAAGGGCACACTGGTTGGATGCAGAGCAAATGCTATCCCCTCTTCACCGCCACCACCACATATACACCCACCCTTTGTTGCATCATGCACTTTCAGCATGGATCATGTATAGAATAAAGTTCCCTTTTACACTGCCCCAGTAAACACACGCCAAGAAAGTTGACTTGATACGGCCATGTTATACTCCCCTGCCTAACCTATAGCTGGCCACTCAAACCAGTGGCAGTTGTGTAACCCATCACCACCAATTCAGATTGTCCTCCCTACTAAAATGTTTGTCTGTGGTGCCCGCTGATACGGTCAACAGATTGTTTATTGTTTAGCTTCACACAAAACAACATACACTCTGGATGGACAGCGATGGTTGAACCCTGTGCTATCCAAACACACTGCCGTTTTTCAATTGCAATCCAACCATTTCTGTGTTTCTGGCCTCCCCTTACCATTCTTATCCAACCCCAACTGGGGCACTCCCTTTGCTACGCAGAATAAGGTCATTTAGTTGAGCAGGATGAGGGTGCAGGAGTGCCTCCTATAACTTTGTAAGCCATTGCAATTCACCTGGAAGAAGTGTACTTTTCACTGTACTCTCATGAGTACATGTGACAATAAAGTAATTCTAATTCTGAAGGAGTAACTTTGGATTGCCATAACTGTAGGGGGTGGGGGTGCAACAATGGTTCCTTTTAATTGGGAGTGTTTACATTCTTTCACTTGCGGCAATTAATAATTCTCTTCTGTGGAACATCGCTTTTAACGAGGTGAAAGAAGGACATTTTCATGTTATCCTGACATTTCATCCATGCTTTCCCTTGAACTAAGTGGCTTGTTCAGTCATTTCCGAGGGCAGTTAAGAATGAAACACATTACATGAGACTCCAGATCCACAGTAGTCACAAGCTTGGTAAGGAAAGCATATTTCCCCTAATGGGCATGAATGAACCAGATGGAGTTTAACAACAATTGATAACAGACTCTTGGTCACCGTTACTGGTAAATTGGCTGTTGTGTTGGAATTTTAAACCCATGTCTTCTATGCATTAATGCTGGGCTTCTGGATCACGGGTCAGTGAGTTCACCTGTGCACCACTGACTTCCCTCTGTCTCGGATACTGATTCGAATCTAGGTCACTAGATTTAGTGGTCCTCTGTGATATTATTATTATTATTTGACTTTTATTGTTGCGACCCTGCATTGTGAGGTGAGAGTGTTCGCGTGTATTTGTGACAATGAAGCCATACCTGCTCAATGGTTGATGTCACATCACTGTCTTTGATCTTACTGATTTTATTTGGGCACAAAGAAACAAAAGCACTCTGCAGTTAAGCAGCGTCTGTGGAGAATGTGTGAGAGAGAAAGGAAGTTAATGCTTCAGATCCCATCAGAAGTGGTCAGAGAATTTCAGGAGATTTGGTTGGAAGGGTATTACCACTCTTCCTGTGTCGTCAATTCAGAAAAGAAAGATAGGCCAGTGTATGAACTCATCACCAGTGTCATTTACACAGTCTGCACAATACGTTTGCGTTATAATTGATAATTAGTTTTTGCTTAGTATTTTGAGGGATTTTGTTTTAGCAGCTAGTGGAGAGAGTACCTTCAGAAGTACTGATGAATAACTTTCTATGGTGTACCTTGTGACTTAAGGCGCTGCTCAATGGATTGCTTTAGGAGTCGGTATTTCTTATTGTCTAAGTTAGAGACTGGAGAGTCAGGTGAAGTGCAAAACAATTAATTGTTGAAAACTAATGGAACCATGGCACGTGCATAAGAATGTGTAAACAGTCATGTATAAAATAACCTTTTCTAACCTTTTAATTGTTTCAAAACATTGGAGGCAAAGTCTACCAGGCAGCTCCTTCACGAGTGAGAGGTCAAGACGAATGTTTTGCTTTTTAACAGAAAAACTGCTGTCCCTTCCCCTTGTGATGACAATTCTTGCTGACATGAAGTTTCAAGTGTGCTTCATCTAACTTGCCGTTCATCTCCTGGAAGACTAGAACGATGTTCATTAGATATTTATCTATGTGGAGGTGCATGGGGAAAGAAGAGTGAGGGTAATACCTAGAGATCTAGGTTAATCATTTGGACTTCTTTTTTAACATGGCCCCTTGAGTGTTACAGCCAGTGGCTGCTCTACTCGAGCTGAGAGCTCAGTTCAGACCAGCAATGAAACCTGTAGCCTTCCAAGTCTGCGTGGCTCAGTACAGCACTGTCTTTTTAAGTTATCCTGAAGAACTCGTGGAGCCCAAAAAGAACATTTTCTCAGAATTATTGAAAAGGATGTTGTCTCCAGAGTTGGAGATAACAGGCATTGAGCCATCATAAGAATAGTCTACTAACTTTGACATAATGTTGAAACATGGCAAAAAAAAGGCAATCAAGTGAATCAGCACCCTGTGCTGTTTTTATAATACAGCATTGAATTTGCTGCACTTTGTCAAATTAGATATTTAAGCTTTTTTCAAAATCTGAATCTCCATGATTTTTCCATCCTTAGTTGCTCATGTCTTTCTTTTGGTGCTGAGTCTAACCCCTCGTTACCTCTGCAGGTGAATCTGGTGTATCCACAGTGCAGTATGGTAACTCCACAACCTCAGTACTGGCTACGCTGGCTGCTTTAGCTGAAGCTTCAGGGCCACTCTCAAATTCACCCAGAAGTGCAGGTAATTTCCACAAATGTATTGTAAAGTGTGCCAATTTTTAAGACTCCCTTTTTAAATATACATAAATATTCCATACTTTTTTTTTAACCTACCCTGGCTTGGCTCCCTTTTAATGGTTGCAAGTGCATAGTTCAAATGTAGATGTAGCACTGGTAGAGTTAGGGTAGAACTAAAGTCACCCTTGCAATTAAAAGAAAAACACAGACAAAGCAACCATAATAAATGAGCAGCTTAGAACTAATGTGACTGGAGGTTCCTGGGCCAAACGCAGGCAAATGGATCTAGTTTAGTTTGGGAAACTTTGGTCGGACATGTTGGACCAAAGGGTCTGTTTCCGTGCTGTACGACTCTTCAACTGTATAAATGATCATGACACAAATTGCAATGTTCAGAGTGTTTTTACCGGTTGTTTTGATTAGCAAGAAATTCTTGGTGTTTGCTGTGCCTCTTTCTTCAGTCAGACCCCGGAATGAGTCACCGCAGCTTGTGTTAATATATTTTCTGTCACAGTGGGAGGGAAAATGATTTTCTCTCCGCAGTATGACCAAAAACAAAGGAGTGAAACTGATTATTACAAACTAAGGCTGGCTCAAAGGCAAGTAATGTTGTACCAGAACACACTCAGCACTTTCTTTTGTGGCTTTGTTTGCCTGGAGGCTAATATCCCAGTGGTAACATTTCTCGTGATAACGATGCTTGAGTAAATGTTATTTACTGTACCTGTTGATAGTTGTTTTATCTTCGCAGTGTGTGAGCTGAGTGGAGGCAATGTAGGTTAGCCCATAAAGATGAGGGTTTCCCTGACTCTGCCAACAGGGGGTTGGATGAAGATTTTTGGTGTTAAGACTATTTTAAGATACCAATCAACCATGATCTAATTACATGATTAAACAGGCCCTAAGGAGCTGAATGGCCCACCCCTCCTGTTCCCATGTTTCTCTGATGGGTTGATATAATTTGACGAATAAAACCAGATTGTCAGTAGTGAACATGAGCAAAATAAACTGGACTCCCACTTCCCAACCATCAGCATGATTTTGTCAGTACACAGATCCCCAACTTAAAAACACTTGGATGTTTGAACACTATCCCACACGGGTGTAATTTTAAAGATCCAATATGCAGACATTTCTGTACTTATGAACTAATATTTTATAATGTCCTGCATTATGTTCTGACTGGCGTACAAATCAACTTGTGAACCCACTCAAGAATGGAACCTGTTTACAACCTAGGGACTGCCTATATCCTTCCTAATTGTAATGCTGTTTGGCTGAAGACTGCACTTGAGATACTCCTTGTGCATTGGTGACAGAGTTTATTCAATAAAGAGTACCTTGGGGACGCCTAGTGGCAGTGGAGAGAGCGGAACTTAAAGCTTTTTCAATCGGGGAAATCTCTGTCCAGTGCTGGCGTGTTTTTTTTTGTTTATTCGCAATAGTACTGGTTGTGAAAATGTGAATGCTTGCATGTGTAAATGGATGGAATAATTGACTAGAGTAAATTTTGAGAAACATTTAATGAGACAATAACCATGATGACTGAAGCAATAGGAGCCCTTTGAGACTTTTTTACCTTTTTTTAAGCATACCGTGAATCCTTTACATTATTTCCCTCCCTCCTACCATGTCCCATGATTTTTAGCGTCTAAAGATCTATCAGTCTTAGCCTTGAATATACTCAATACTGGAATAGAGAAATCCAAAAATTCTTCTGCGTAAAGAAATTTCTGTACGAAAGGGCCGGATTCCTTCCCAAGCTTGTAACCCTTGATTCTGGACTCTTGTGTCAGCGTGAAACAGCCTCTTTGCATCTACCCTTTCAAATGTTTCATCACACCTCTGATTCTTAAGTGCAGAGACTATACTGCATTCTAATCCATTTGTCTTCCTAGGACAGCCCCTTTATCCCAGGTATCAGCCGAATGATTTTTCTTGGGTCAATTTTGGGTAATTATTCACAGCTTTCCTAGTTTTTACTTTTAATTTCTGGAAAACATCCTTGCCCCTAGATTCTTTTCCCGGAATGTTGGAAGCAGCCAAAAGTGCCTAAAAAGAGAGATTATTTAAGGATTCAGATGGAGCCTTTTCTTTCACTTCTCCTTCAGATCCTGACCAACCATTTCCAGCAACTTCTGTCTTTAACTAAAAGAGAAATTGCTGGAAAAGCTCGGCAGGTCTGGCAGCATCTGTGGTGAAAGTAGAGTTAATGTTTTGGGTTGAGTGACCCTTATTCTGAGGAAGCAATTTCTGCTTTTGTTTCTGATTTGCAGCATCCGCAATTCTATCAGTGTTTACTTCTGCCTTTCACCCTAGTTTATTGTATTTAGCAATCTTTTTTGCTCAACTTATAGCAAGCTTTACCATGCAGAAGATGAGCTCTCAGCCCACTCTGGTAAATGAAGAGTGCGCGATGCTGCATCCTTTGGGACTGTACTACTGTAATTCTGCCTCTTGACTGAGTGAGCTTTTTATTTTCTTTGTTTCCAGCTGCAACAGAGGAAGTGGTAACTGCAGACTCAGTTGACTCAGCGATTCAGCAGGTCGTAGGGAGCGGAGGTCAGAGGGTTATCACCATTGTGACGGACGGTGGGGTGCAGCTGGGTAACCTTCCAGCGGGCATTAACACTGGCCAACCATTTATTGTGACCATGCAGGATGGGCAACAAGGTAGGCAAAGAATCGTTCAAACAGGCCAGTATTGGGTTTCATGGGTTCCCATAAATGCTGAAATAAGCTTGTTCTCCTCTCATCCACTCTTGAGTTCATTTTCCTAACCCATTCCTCTCCCCAGCATCTGAAGGGCCTACTGTTGGAAGACACCAGCTTCTGATATGCGCCCTTTCCAGCTATAGTCTCTGGATCACAATAAAGCCATTAGATCCAGATTTTATTTTCTGCTCCTTGCCCTTTTTCTATAGGAGTTGAGGGTGCCTGCTGCCTCAGTTAGGATCTTCCCATTCAGTGCAGATTGAGAACCATAGAACTGTTGCAGTGCAGAAAGAAGCTATTTGGCCCAGTGTTGGCTGGCTGACTGAATAAGCACCTAACTAGTGCCATTCTCCTGCCTTCTGTCTGTAACCCTACATGTTCTTCCTTTCCAAATAACCATTCCATTCCCTTTTGGATGCCTCTGCTGCCACCAAATTCTCAGGCAGTGCATTCAAGGCCCAAATCACTGGTTGCACGCAAAAAGAGTTTGTTCAATATCACTTTATGTTGTTTGGAAAGCCTTACGTACCTTGTTCTTGATCCTTTGAGGATTAAAACTTCAAATATTTCCTGGTCTGCAGGGTACTGGTACCACAACATGTCCAGCATGTACTTGCTGAGCTGTTGAGGGGGAAGAAAAAAAATTCCCTTTGTGTGATTGCACAGAGTCAAACACTCTGAAATTATATCCACTTGCCTCGCCCAGTCCTATGAGTCATAGGGAAATCTGTTGGCTGCCTAGCTGACCTGTTTCCAAATCAAGCTACCTTTTGCATAGTCACCTGGTGTCTACGTTTTACAATGGGGGCGAATCACTGATGCACACAATCACAGTCCAGTTCTGTGATGTCCCTTTTGGTTAGCCTTCTATGGATTGTGGACGTATTATCAGGGTGTGAAATAAATCTGTTTTCCCTGAGTTACAGCATCCAGTATTGGGTATTGCTGAACCAATTGGATCAGGCTTACTGGAAAATACAAGTCCAGTAAGGGGGCTTGGGTTAACTTCAGCTGTGATGCCTCTGCAGTCAAATAGTATGCATGACAAGCTATCAGAGCTCACTTAGAAAGGATAAACGCTAGGGTGAGGTGCAGGAGCAATCACGGGTTTTCACCCCCTGGGTCAGTTTTCAGGAGAGGTGGAAGAAAGCTGTTTGGCAAATATCGTCGGTGACATGGCTGAGAGGAGCAGATGGGGTGGAGTGAGACAGAATATGGGCAAGATTATTGAGTAGAGTGTGCTGCTCGCCAGCACAATATTTCTTATTGGAATCCTGTTCCTGCGTTTTAGTCTTGACAGTCCCAACCACCCATGTGGAGGAAGAGACCGTCATCACGGAAGAAATGCCAGCAAAGAAACAGTGTCTGGAAGAAGTCCTTAATCACTCCGAATCAATAGAGAAGGTAAAGTAGAGTGTACAATATTGTTTTATGTTGACTTAAAATCGTGCATTGAGGTTCTTGAGCTACCAAAAATGAATATTCCCACGTAACTGACCAGATGTAGTGTTGTTGAACCTGTGAAATAACCTAAAATGGTGGTTCTGCTTCCTCAGGATAGCAATGCAGTTTATTAAGGTAATTTTTATTAATTTTGTTTTTGAAAAAGCAAAACACCATGCCCATGTCCAGAGGGATAGAACTGATAAGCCAAAAGGTTTATACTAAGCTTGCACTGTTGCTTGGTTTGACCACATTTGCACATGCTCCTTTGTAATGAATATGTAACAAATTGAACAATAAAGATCTAAAGGCATTGGACAAAATGCAAATTGAATTAATGGGAGGATAGCAGAAATGCAGTGTTTTACTCGGTGTCAAAAGATTGAACAGGCTGGCTTCCTGTCTCTAGAAACGTGAAGGTTGACCTAATAGAAGTCTTTATAATTGAGTTCATTTGGTTCTTCCCTGGGAATGGAGTATTGTCCAATGATGAGAGTCTGAGTTTAAATCAGGTCAATGTTCTCTGACTCTCGCTGTTGTAAACACCAATCTCATTGGGGCAGACAAGATTCTGAAGGAGTTGACAGGAGAGGCTGTTTCCATTGATTGGAGAATCCAGGACATTGGGCACAGTCTCAGGACAAGGGGCCAATCATTTAGGACCGAGATGAGAAATTTCTTCTGAAAGGATTGTGAACTTTTAGAATTCTCTTCCCCCGGAATGTTGTGGATGTTTTGTTGTACAACATGTTTAAGGCTGGCACAGACAGTTTTCTTGTGGCTCAGGGATTCGAGGGATGTGCAGAGCAGGCAGGAGAGTTGAGTTGAAGTCCAAGGTGAGCCGTGTTGTATTGAATGGTAGGGCAGGTTTGGCGGGCCAAATGGTCTACTCCCACTCCTATTTCGTCTGTTCTTTTGGTAGGGTAAATGTGGAGAACCAGTTGTGGGTGAGACCAGACCAAGGAGCCATTGATATTAGACAGTCATCAATGCATCCAGTTAGCTAGTCAGAAGAAAAGACTTAAGCTAGAAAGTGGGAAGATTGTGGAACACGCTCCCACAGGGAATGGTTGAAGCCAATAGCAGAAATGCGTTTAAGGGGAAACTGGATAAACTCCATGAGGGGGAAAAAAGAATGGAAGGTTGTGAAGTGAAGAGGGATTGAGAAGAAGCTTGTTTGAAACATAGACAATGGCACAAATTAGCTATGAAACTCCCTGAAACAAGGGTGGGTGTTAAGTAAGTTGCTGTACTAGAGGGCATATTTTTAAGATGAGAGGGGCAAAAGGAAAAAGAATTGGACACCTGAGGGGCAACTTTTTCATACAGAATGTGGTTTGTGTGTGAAATGAACTGCTGGAGGAAGTGGTAGGTGCAGGTAAAGTTACAACATTTTAAAAGATATTTGGACAGGTACATGAATAGGAAAGATTTGGAGGGATATGGGCCAAACTCAGAAAAATGGGACTAGTTTAATTTGGTCAGCATGAACCAGTTGGAGCTAAGGGTCTGTTTCTGTGCTTTATGACACTATGCACCTATGGCCTGTGGTGGGTGCACAGTAGAAATGTCTTGCTGTATTATAGCATCAGGTGAAGCGTTGTGACACCCATGTGAGATTGAGTTACCTGACTGAAATCCCATCAGTTCCTGACAAGGTATATGTACAGGAATAGCTACAGTGGTGAGCATGTTGTTTGTGTCGCTTTCGCTTGCCTTCAAAGCATACTGTGTTCCTGGAAAGAGTAATGAGGAGGCAATGAATAAATGGTAATGCACCATTATTCTTAAATTCCTAAAGCAATTGCCACGATAGTGAACTATAGGGTTGTGACAAGGTTTCAAGTCTGTCTCCCCTGTCCCTTTCACATCGCATCAGTTCAGCAGGGTAAGACAATATGATGTGAGTGTTGATTAAGCACTGACATGGACCATTCAGGGTATATTTTTTAATTAGCTGGGCAGCTTCATTTGCTGATTTCATGATTCACTTGAGTTTTATTCAACAATTGGTTTGCATCTGCAGCCACTTGAGCTAGCTATGTAATTTCTACATACGCTCAATCCTTAATATCTGCGGCCCTCAATCTCCTTTTTTTTCCATGAACCTGACCATTCTGATCATGCGGTCCTTTGCAATAGCAAAGTTACAGGGTAATAGTATTCTCAATTTCTGTTGTCCACAGGAAGCCTATGCCTCGAACCCCCACGATGACAAGGATTTGGTATATGTTGTGGAGAAAATAAATTTTTCTGAAAAACAGTGCACTTTACAGACTGCATTCACAAACACTCTGATCAAAATCAGTAACCATTGCATTCTCCTGTGACTGAAAAATGCCGTTGGAAACAGCATTTGGCCCACAATTTTAAAGTTTAGTTTTCAGTTATGGAAAAGAGAGGTACTATTTGTCAAATGGTTATGACATTACTTTTGTGAAAAAGCACTACAGGTACTGAAAACCTGACATTAAAAGCAGCAGGTGCAGGTCAGGAAGCATCTATGGGGGGAGGGGTGGGTGGGGGCGTGAAACTAAGTCTTCATGCTTCACTCCTAAAATCCCATTGGCATGTCCCAATCTTTTTTTAAGATAGTTTGCGGAAAGCATTCACTTGTGTCTCTTTCAAGTCCGGCAGTTATTGCCCATCCATAATTGCCCCTTTTTAAGGCAGTGGTCAGCTACCTTCTTGAGTTGCTGTGGTCCATGTAATGTAAGTCCCCCCCCCTCCCTTCAATGGTGCAGTTAGGGAGGGAGTTCCAGGATTTTGACCCAGCGACAGTGAAGGAGTGGCCAGTTTTCAGTTCTGAGTGAAGATAATGTGTGGCTCAGAGGGGAACTTGCACTAATGGTTTTGCATGCATCTATTACCTTTGACCTTCCAGGGATGGAGGTCATGCGTTTGGAAGGTGCTGACAAAGCAACCTTGGTGAGTTGCTGCTGTGCATCTTGTAGTTGGTGCAAATTGCTGACACTGTGTGTCAGTGGTTGAGGGAGTGAATGCTGCTGGTACTATTGATGGTTTCTTGTTTCAGGACACGAATGATTGCTTGGAGAGAGAACTACTTCAAAAGCAGCTCCACGAAGCAAACCGAAAAGCTCAAGAGTACCGGCAGCAGCTGATGAAGAAGGAACAAGAAGCAGAGGAGTACCGCATGAGACTGGAGGCTATTGCAAGGCTCCACACCACGGCTGAGGAGATCACTGTTGTAGAGGAGGTCACAGATGATGGCACAGGTACGGTGATCACCATGGCAGCAGAGCTGGAAGGTCCTGAGACCACGGTGGAAACAATGGAGCAGCCTACTGACATGGCGACGGAGACAGTGACTTCATAAAATCTCCCTCTCAGCGTCCCCTCCCCCTAACACCAACCTGCAAAACTTTCTCCCTGATGCATTTTGTTTTTCAAATTCAGTGCGCCTGTGCTCGCGCACACAAACCAAGAACAGCTTGGGGGCAAGCTGTTGGTCACTGCCACACCAGAACACAGACGGTCACTATCTGATTGCACAAGAACTCCTCTTGGAACTCAACACCAGGAAACCTCTGAACACTAGCAGGTACAGTTTTTCCTCGGAGCTTCAGAAAATGGGGAGCAAGGGGAGAATGTTGGGTGTTGCTAAGTCTGTTATTAGAATCCAGGTACTCCAATTCGCGTCCAAGCAGGAGAATATCCAGGAGCTTGAACTCAGTTGGGGTTATGGTTTTGACTGCAGGGGTTTGGTGGGAAGTGAAAAGAGGGAAGGATGAAAATTAAACCGCTTCGATGTCAACATTGTTTTGTTTCTGCTACAAAAGCATTGGGAAGCAAGGCTGACGAAATGACACCGGTCCTGCAACTAATATATACACGCACCTGAGCACCATGTCCTCTCGGTGTCCGTCTTCTCTGGGCCATTGATGTTACGTCTGCATTTTAACGATTTCAACAAAAAATGTAGTAGAGTCTGTTTGCCTTGAATATGGAGAAAGAAACAAACAGCACAAAATCTTCCTATGGGTAATTTTAAATTATTTTAAACTAAGAATTTCCCACGCTGCAATTTGCAATCAGTTATTCATCTGGTGGGGGCAAAAAAAGTCCACTAATAGAGACTTTTAAAAATGGTTTTGGTAATATTGTTTGGTATTTTTATGTACCAATTCCTTTATCCGTATTCCTGCAGAGTTGTCTTTCTGACAGGTGTAATTTCTCCCTCTGAACTTTTGCCAGTAGGTAGATGGGGAGTTTGCTACTGACCTTCAGAGTCTGTGAAGATCTGCATTCATTTAGCACCTTCTCACATTGCTCAGAAATGCCTCAAAGCATTTCACCTGCAGTGAAGTACAGTAACTTGTTATGGAGGCAACGTTTAACAATAAAGGTGCTGACTGCTACCTGATCCTCCCTGTAAGAACAGTATCCTTAGCCGTCAGCACCTCTGGAATTTTCAACCATTTCGGAGATTTCATTTCAGAAGAGACAGAAACAAAGTCTAGAATTGAAATGTCACCTCTTCTCCTTAGCCCCCATTCTAATTTTAGTGCTCTGTTTATTTTGAAGCTTCAGAAAGTTCTGATTCTGGCTGTGGAGGGTTCCATCCACAAGGAGAGTGAATAATTTGGCATTGGAGTTGGCAGCAGTGCCCAGGCATCTTCCAAAAGGTTTTCTCTTCCGGTTTATAACATCCTTTATTTCACCAGCCCTCCCATCTCCAAGATTTTGTATAATTAATGAGCAATGATGCTCAAAGATAGTGAAGCAAATGCATCATTTTTTTTTTAAATCCATGTGATTCTTCTCCTTGCTGTTGCTGCAGTGGTGTCCAGGAAAGTAATCCTTTATTTTTTTCCCTGAAGACTCTGGAACAGTCCAAAGGGCTGGTGAACCCTCGGTGAGAAAACAGCTGATTTATCTGCCTTGAGCATTTTGTCTTCCTTGATCCCAATTAAAACGAGACCTGTTGGATCTGTACTTGATCCACGGGCAACAACTGCCACCACCTCACCATGGAGTCCAAGGACCCAAAACTCTAGGTTCAAAGACCTGAAGTTTAGATTGGTTTTGTTAGTATTCCTTTGTACTTTTATATAAATCAAGTTGTTTTATTGCTGAAGTAGGTCCCCTGTGTGGACAGACATTGGAATTTATAAGTAACCTTCCCCTTTACTTTTCTGGAGCATAGACTTGAAGGTAACTACCAAGTCTGGTGTAGGCCTTCGATCCAGTTAGATGCCTGGAAGTTGGACAGGGACAGGATCCAGCTTTTCTGTGCCAGTTCTGCTAAGTGGAAGTGCCTGCCAAAGGTTCACAGCCTGGCTCTGCACAGATGTGGCCTTTTTGATCATGAGGCAATTAGATGTGAGTGATGTCCACAGGGCAATTCCCCTGGCATAAATGAATGGCAGTGGGAGCAATAGCAGGGGAAATCTCTGCTGGCCACTCTGCTCCCCAGTGTCTGCTTTTAACTGAAGATGGCCTGAAGTGAAATCTGAAGAGCATCAAGCAAGTTGAGATTATTGAATGACACAACTTGGTGAGGAAAAGATAGTCATTTATACAGCATTTAATCATGTCTGAGACATGGCCGAGAGCACTTCTATACAATACCTTGCCTACATAACAACTGCACTTCAGACATCTTTGTTTGCTTTGTTGTCCTTTCATTTAAATTGCAGAAGGTGATTACATTTTTAATAGATTTATTTTCTAATGAACCTTCCTGTGGACAGGTTTGCTTTTCTCATTTACAGCTGCATTGTGCATTAGCTGTACAGCCAGGGTCTCGCATAATTTCCTCGACCCAATTTTATATTTAAAGAAGAAATTTGTATTTTTTAAATCATTTTTACTGTTGTCTAAGGTTGTGCCTCATAGTTATTTTACAACTGAATATTCAGTTTACGCAATTGGTTATATTAAAGCACCGTTTAAAAAGGTGTCTTCTCTTTGGATATGTATTTAGGGTCGTCTTGTGATTTAATTTTCAGCTGAGATATGGGAATCTGGTCACATGTGGAAGTTGTAATGTCCCGTTGAAGAGCACAGTGGGTCATTTCAAAACGGCCATCAGGGTTTTCACAACGGCTGTTAGCCCGTCTGGCAGCCCGTCTGGCGTCAGTAAACTCAAATGGCTGCAGTGTTGTTCAAAATGGCTTTAAGGTTGCTTAAAATGGCTGTCTATGCAAGTCACTGGTGAAAGTAAAAAATGCCAGCACATTGCTTCGTCCGGTCCATTGCTGCTGCTTCAATGTTGATCCAGTATTTGAACCTACAGACCGGCATCTCCACTTGAAGGTGTCACCCAGTTCCCCAAAAACCAGGTGTGAAGCTGGCCCTAACTCTATATACTTTTTTATCCTCTTTACTTTCACCAAACGTTGGATTTTTCTACTCAGATTTTCGAGCAGCTGGCCTTTGGCAAAATCAGCTGTGTCTGTCTGTCTGAGTTGTGGTCGTCTAATTTCCCCACTCGTCCAATTCAAGTAGCCTCCTTCTTCGTTGCCGGACTAAAATTAAACCTAATCAAGCAGACACTGTCTGGCTCAATGTCACATGGACCACTCTGCACCTCTCACTTCTCCCTCTCTTGCTCGGTGAGACTGTGATACTTGCAGTAAAGTGGGGTTCCTACTTGCTCACTTGTATAATTATGCATTCCATTTTTTGGCTATTAGTGCTTACTAATCAATGATGTAACATAAGTTGTTTAAACATTTTCTGTTACTCTTTTTTTAAACTGTCTTGTCTCTGGAAAATACAGGAATTTTTCTTTCTGCCTCATTCCTCCCTCACTTCCCCAGCAAATCGGTCTTAAAATTTCTTCACCACCCCTCGACGAAACCAAAACAATGACCAGTTTAAATATTAATGAGCTCTGAGACCTGGCGTGAAATTGATCTGTATAAAATTGTGAATAATGTATCAGTGCAATGGGTCTCGATCGCGCTCTGGACAGCCTGCTGGGAAAAGGGAGATGAATCCATGTTCCTGTGACTGCTTTGTGGCTTCAGAGAATTTAAGCTATTACTGCCACATTATGTGACATGGAAGCACAGAGGAGTTTGGTGGGTGGGATGAGTTGGAGACTTATTGAAAAGTTATTCTGAAATAGTGGCAGAGGCACAGACAGATTTCTGATCTACTACAGAGTCAGACAGAAAAGTGACGTTCAGGGAATGATCGGTTAGTCTTGATCTTGAATGGTGGAGCAGGCTGGAGGGGCTGAATGGCTTGTTCCTATTTCTTATGTAGATAAAATATTGAAGGAATTTCTCCAACCCAATTGTTTCCAGCTATGTATTGGCTGAGAGCCAGCTTTGTGTGTATTGGTCCTGATACAGCTAGTATCACGTTGCTGTGAGAAGAAAGAGGTAAGCTTGGAGCTGTGGCCTTTTCTCTTCTCTTCCCCTCGCACTCCTTTTCGTGCTCTTACTGTATCTCTTCATTTTCTTTGTTCTCTCTGTCTCCACCCCCCCCAACCCCCTTAGTCTCACTTTCTCGCCCTCTACCCACCTCCTATCTCTCCCTCTCCCCCTTGCGCGTTTGCCCCCTCTCGCTCCCATTTTCCCCAGCCCCCTCGCCATTGAATCCTACACCAGAGATGGTGATCTTGTAGGTTTTCTCTCCGTTAGGTGCTCCAACTTTGGGAGCTAGCTGAGATAGCAATGGGGTAGCAGTGTGGAATCCTAGAACAACACCGCATAGACTATTCAAGAGCAGACTTGATGGTTATGAGCATGTGGCCAGTGTTGCTATTTGGACTTTAGGAGGATACCAATCACCTCCTTGGGCCTGTTCCACTGTTTAGTTTGTATTGTCTTAGCACCACCTACTTTCCTGGTCCCCTAACCTTTAATACCCTCGCCCAACAAAAATACCCATGGGTGGGCTTAATCAGGTCTGGGTGCGATGCTCTTGCAGCCAATGATCTATAACCCCTCCATCAAAACAAGAAACTAGGAGCAGGAGTAGGCCATTTAGCCCTTCAAGCCTGCTCCAACATTCAGTATATTCGTGGCTGATCATCCAACTCAATAGCCTGTTCGTGCTTCTCCCCCCACATCCTTTGATTCCTTTAGCCCCAAGTGCTTTGTCCTCTTTGAAATCATACAATGTTTTGTCCTTAACTGTTTTCTGTGGTAGTGAATTCCACAGGCTCACCTGTCTGGATGAATTAAAAACCTCCTCATCTCCATCCTAAAAGGTTTACCTTGTATACTTACACTGTGACCCCTGGTTCTGGACTCGCTCACCATTGGAAATGTCTATCCTGCATCTACCCTGTCTAGTCCTGTTAGAATTTTATAGGTTTCTATGAAATACCCACCTTATTCTTCTGAACTCCAGTAAATGTAATCCTAAGTAGTTCAATTTCTCCTTATACATCAGTCCTGCCATCCTCGGAGTTAGTCTGGTGAATTTTTGCTGCACTCTCTGTATAGCAAAATCATCCTTTCTCAGATATGGAGACCAAAACTGCACACAGTACTCCAGCTATGGTCTCACCAAGGCTCCGTACAATTGCAGCAAGACATCCTTGCAGCTGTATTCGAATCCTCTTGCGATGAAGGCCAACATACCATTTGCATGCTTCACCTGCATACGACTGGTATACCTCATTGTAAATTTCCCTCTCTCAACTTATTGCCATCCAGATAGTCTGCCTTCCTGTTTTCTACTACCAAAGTGGGAAACGTCACATTTATCCATATTATATTGTATCTGTCTGCTCACTCAGCTTGACATAATGTGGAGCAAAAGCAGTAAAGCAGGTGCATCCCACTAAATTTATTCCTTGTAGAATGCCATTGTCGTCTTCAGTTTGTTCACCAGCCCAGTATCAGGTTGGGAGGTGCAACATCTTCTGAGGAAGCAAAGAGCTAAGGGTCAAGTTAGGGTTGTGTTAAAATGCATGTTAGGGAGTGGCCACTGAGGGGTTTGAGGAAATTGAAGATGAGCTGATACCCGAGAGACAATGCTCTAGGAGAGCAGAATGGGAACAGATTACCTAACTGGCAATCTCTAACAATCTAACTGTGATCATGTTTGACTCGGAAATTTTGTTTTTTAATTGCAGTAGCAGGATTGTGTTGGGTTGAGGAAGAGGGCTATGGGGGTGGACCTGCTGTATGAGGAGCTTCAACGTTGAACACAGTGTTGCCACCTGGTTCTGTTTTCCTTTAGTTGAGTAGATTGGCTCGCAGTGGGGTGTCCCAATTTGGGCAGCAGGGAGCTTTCTGAGGAGGTTGTGCAAGAGGAATGGACCAGTTTCGAAACATCATCTGTGCCCCTTGCAGGGTTGTGTATTGTTTATAGATCCATCCTTCTCCCCATCCTCTTGCTACATAATTTACCCTTTTCTCAAGTAAAACAAAACTGCGAATGTTGAAGATCTGAAACAAAAACTGAAATTGCTGGAGAAGCTCTAGGTCTGGCAGCATCTGTGGAGAGAGAAAGCAAACCGAACGTTTGGAGTCCAGTGACCAATTCTGAAGAAGGGCCAATAGACTTGAAACGTTCACTGGACTCCAAACGTTCGCTCTGCTTTCTCTCTCCACAGATGCTGCTGGGCTGACTGAATTTCTCCAGCAATTTTCTGTTACCTTTTTCTCATGTCTTGCAAAGATTGAATACTTTGTAATCATCTGTGCTGAGCAAAAGTGACTGACTGCTGTTTTATTTTTTAAGATTCAAGTGACAGATCAATGAGTTGCAATGTCCTAATCCCAGGGGAGGAAGATCTAAGGAATAAAGCATTCTTTCAGCTGTCCACTTTTTTTTTTCTCATGTTAACCCCACACCACACACTGTCCCAGCAGCCAGTGTTAGCAGCTCAAGTGACAGATTTACCCCGTGATTGTGTGTCTAGATGAATTGTCTGGCATCATTCGTCCTGCGTACTGAACGCTGTTGTCCCAGAAAAGTTTGTGTGTTTTTTGTTTTTCTTAATTGCTGTTACTATTATCACCCCAAACTTTCAACCTGGCTTTGTTTATGAATTGGACAATTTGCATTTAGTGTTGGTGAACTTTTGTTTTGTTCCAACAAAAAGATCATTGGTGACCCGTTTGGGAAATGAATCCTCATTGCCCTCAGCTATGGGGAAGCCTCAAGTTGTACCTGGTGCGCCTTTAGTACAATGTACTGTAATTATCTTGTGTACAGGATTCCTTTAGAACTAGCCATGTTCTTTTTAGAACCTGTACAAAGTGATACAGATTGTTAAATAAATCTTGTATATACATTTTTGTACCATTATTAAGGGCAGACCTTTGCTAATAAAATGCAGAAAATGAATTGCTTTGTTGGACATGTGTGCTTTTTATTCCTGCAAAGGGTTGGATGTAATCTCACTGAGCTACACTCCTGCAAGCACTTTGCACGTAATGGCATCTCTACTAGGGTCAAGAACAAAGACTGATCAGGTAGTGCTTCCAATCAACTTGCCTGGAGGGCATCCTGCTGTAAATGATTGTGATTTATTTATATTTCAATATTTGCAAAATTCGCACATACCTGCAGCCTTCCTGCCTTCCGCAATGACGCTCACTCCCACAACTGATCAAAGCATCTCTCTGCTCTTTTAAGCAATTGGGTTGGACAGCTCCCAGTGAGGCACTGTTCCAAAAACAAATCAGTCAACGGAAACTTACAGCAGTGCAATGGAAACTTGGCAAATTCAAATCAAAATATCATTTATCCAGGGGTGATGGAGTGCTCTGGCCCCTGTAGTGCCCACTGGTCAATAGAGGCCTCCGCTGAGCTGGTGGACACCGTATGCTCCCTGTCCATGGATGCCAGAGCACAGATATAACTGCGAAAGAGAGGCAGACTGTTTGTTTGATACCAGTACCACCTCCACTGCCCACTGTCTAGGCCAGGAGCAGACCCACAAGGAGACTTTCAGTTCTGTCTGCTCCACTCTGCATAGGGTGTCAACAGACTGGGAGCATGGGCTAAGCATACCTGTCTGATGAACTCGCTAACCTGACTCCATCCCACTTTCAGATCACTGGCTGACTTTTCTCCTCCTTGACCTGGGAACCTAGCCTAGGATTGTCAACTCTGCTTCGAGGTATTCTGAGATAATTTGCTCCTAGACATCATCTGATTGCTTGGCTTTGGCAATCTGTGGGCAAATAGTTAATATTGCTTACCTGTATTCGTAATGCAGGAAGTACAGCTACCAATTTACACACAGCAAACTCCCAAAGATATCAATTTGATAGTGACCAAATTAGTTTCAGTTAGTGATGTTGGTTAAGGAATAAATATCGACTCCAGGGCACATTGGATCTTTTACACCTGTCTGAGATGGATGGTTGGAGGTCTTAAGGTGTTAATTTAAGTGAAAAAACACTTCCAAAGTCATAGTCATACAGCATGGAAACGGACCCTTCCATCCACTCAGTCCATGTCGACCATAACTCCAAGCTAAGTATCCTATATAACCTCAACATGACTTCCCAACTCCTAAACTCAAAGTACTGAGTGATGAAGGCAAATGTGCTAAATGTCTTTTCAACCACCTTGTCTATATGTGAGACAAACTTAGTACGTACCTGAACGCCTAGGTCCCTCTGTTCTGCAACATTACCCAAGGCCCTAACAACCAAGGTAAAATGTTGGATGGAATATCTTTAAAAGCAAAACATTCCATTTACATTACTCTGTAGGCAATGTCCCACAGTGGGGTGGAGGGGGAACAGAATAGAAAAATAGATTGCCACGAGAAAAGTTGGTGCCGTGTTAGTTATTTAGCGTCAAAAAAAAGCAGGCTTTTGGAGCGGAAGTATTTATTTTGAGAATCTTGGAGAAGAGGAAACTGCAGCAAACAAAATTCATGGCTCACCTCAGAAATATTGTTTCGTTGGTCGTGCCAAGTGTGTAGAAGCAGTAATCTGTGGTCTTCGTTTTCAGATTTTTTGACGGTTTTGTTACTGTCACGTCAGATTGGAAATCGCAGCTTTGTCTCAAACTCTCCTGTGGCTTGCCTGTCTTGTATCTCCGTCTTGGCTGCCTGTTTTATTCTCTATAATCCTGCCCCTACTGTCAACCTGCACCCTCGCCACTATCAATGGCACAAATCTCTTCGACCCACTTATCATTGTCCATCTCCCGTTGCCTTGAGCAATTGTAATGGACAGTCTTCAATTGCTCTTCGCTTCCTACCTGTTAAAGTTGCTTTCAAATATAACTGCTGCGATAACCAACTGGAAATTGTCACACTAATATCTCAGTGACCGTCCCATTGGACCTGTGACTTTGCCTGCAGGATAATTGGGAGGAATTTGGTAGGTAGGCGGACTCCACAATTCAACAGGAGTGTCCTGATCGGGAAAGAGTTTGAGGAAGGCAGTCTTTCATGAAGAGTCCTCTTCCTCAGGCTTACCTAATTTTATGCCATCCTGTAGTTGAGCGCCCCTTTCTCCATGTAGTTTGTCCAAGTCGAGGAGGACATGCTCTGGTATGGATCCAACAAGATCCGGAAGAAACGGATGAGAAGGCCCAGAAAGGTGAAAAGAAAGACGGCTAAGACTAAGGTGGTCTTCTGCTCCAGAGTTGCATTGGTGAAAGATGAGCTGGCAGCTGGCATAGGTAAGCTGGTGCTTAGAAGATCTCTGGTCATGTTGACCCCTTAGGGTTTATTCCCAGGCAGCCATCCAAATCTACATTCTGGTCAGCTTCAGAGCATCTGTAATGAAAATCAAAGCAAATTAAAGTCTCATGGTGATTTTTACCCATGAGTAGTTATGACAGAATAAGGATCTTGCGACCACATCTAATTCCACTGTGAGAAACCATGACTTTTCATGACCACACGCAGTGTGGGCCGAGGATTCCTGGAAAATAGGTGCAGGAGTAGGCCATTTGGTCCTTCGAGCCTGCTGCACCATTCAACAATGAGCATGGCTGATCATGCAATCTCCGTATCCCACTCCCAGCTTCTCTCCGTACTCCTTGCTCCCTTTAGCTGCAAGGGCCACGTTAAAAAATCGAACGAACTGGCCCCAACAGCTTTCTGTGGGAGAGAATTCCACAGGTTCACAAC